CTTAATGGTTGCACAACAATGTAAATGTACTTACTGCCACTGAATTGTACACTTAAAATGGTTAAAATGGTAAATTTTTATTATGTATATTTTATAATAAAAATGTTAAAATAATTATTACTCAAAGATGACTTTCTAAAATGTTAGAAATGGATTTTAATTTTTGAAATAAACCTGTTTTATTTTTAGAAAAGATTTATTTATTTATTCATGAGAGAGACAGAGAGAGGCAGAGACATAGGTAGAGGGAGAAGCAGGTTCCCTGCGGGGAGCCTGATGCGGGACTCGATCCCAGGATGCTGGGATCACAACGTGAGCCAAAGGCTGATATTCAACCACTAAGCCACACAGGTGCCCCTGAAATAAAATTCTTTTAGAGCAGTTTTAGGTTCATAACTATGAAAGATCAGAAAGTACAGGGAGTTCCTATATACTGCCTGCCTGTGCCTATATGAACAGTCTCCCCAGCTATGAACATCCTATATAAGTGGTTCATTTGTTACAATGGATGCACCTAAATTGACATATCATTATCTTCCAAAGTTAATAGTTTAGAGTTCACTTTTGGGGTTGTACATTCAGCATTTTGGAGTTCTGAGGTAGGAGGATCTACTGGGGAAACAAAATATCTTGCTTACCCAGAAAATCTTTGCACACACATAGAAGAGAAAGAACAGTTTTATTATTAGTAAGCATTAAAAGAGATGTGATGTGCATCACAGGCAATCTAATAAAGATATTGTGAAGTCGGTAAGAAATCTCACCTTTTTATACAGTCAGGCAGATACAACTATTACGTACATGTTCTCAAGAAAATGTGAACTAGTCCTCAAGTAAGAGAACTCGACAGCACCATTTACTAAATAGCGCATTAGAAATTCATTGCGGTGGGCATTTGCATTTGTTAAGTGCCTTTGTCTACGTGTACAGTAACACACCTGCCATAAGTGACTATAAAAAGGGCAAAATACATGGAGTTCCTGCTTCACATGTGGGACAGCACACAGCATGGGGCTGTGTTCTTTTTTTTTTTTTTAATTTTTATTTATTTATGATAGTCACACAGAGAGAGAGAGAGAATGGCAGAGACACAGGCAGAGGGAGAAGCAGGCTCCATGCACCGGGAGCCCGACATGGGGTTCGATCCCCAGTCTCCAGGATTGGGCCCTGGGCCAAAGGCAGGCGCCAAACCGCTGCACCACCCAGGGATCCCATGGGGCTGTGTTCTTTGATGGAACGACAGCACAGCAGATGAGATGTCTTCTGCCAGGGCAAGGGCACTTTCTAACCCTATTAAAGGGAAGTGGAGCCCAGACAACAGAGATGAGGGTAACAGATCAGAACCCAGTGCTCCAGAGGGAGCTAGAATCCTGTGTCTGTCTTTTCAGGGGAGTCCTACCCAGGAGGGTTCTGAAACCTCAGGCTGGCCTCTCTCAAACCTCAGCCCCAGAGGTGAAGACCGTCACTCTAGCATCAGAGGTCAGGTGTAGGCAGTTGCCACCAGCTAGCTGCTGCATCCCAGCTTCCTCCTACAGAGACAGTGTCCTTATTTCAGGCTCAGAAGCTGAGGTCCCACTCCTACTCAAGAAGTTGATACCCCATTGTGCAATTGAGCAGTGCTAGCCCCTCTCTTGCACATGCAATCTTGGGGACCTGCCCTTGTGTCAGGATGCAGCCTCATGGACTCTGCATCAGGAATGTCTGCTGATTGTGAGCCCTGGGACACGGCTGCCAGCCTCTGGACCTTCATGCTATCACTACTTGGTCTGGTGTTTCTGCCCACAGGGAACTACAGAGGAGCTTGATCAGCACTTGGAGCACTCTAGTTGCCTCTGAGGAGTTTCTTTGGCCTTGGAGAAGGGGACATTGGAGAAGGGGGCCTTGGAGAAGGGGGATTGAAAGGTGATGAATAGCCATAAGCCCTGCTCCTTCACAGCAACTGGCCAGCTATAGTACATGCCAGTGCACAAAATGCAAAACAGTCTTTAAAAGAAGGCAGCTTTAGATCTACAAAGTTTCAGGAGAAGGAAATATCAGATATTGAGTGTAAAATGAGAAAGTAGCTTTAGATGTATTGAGAAATATCAAAATATGGATTGGTGTACAAAGTCTGACTTAATTTTTACTCAGAAAAACTATAAAGGAATGTATTTGAGCTCAGACACAAAAGTAATACATGTGCAGACACAATTCTGAAAAGATAATGCTGTACTCTAAATATTTTTCTCCAGGAGGTTCAACTATTAGACTTTTCACATTGTATTTTTTTTTAATAGATTTTAATTATTTTAGAGAGAGCAGGGTGAGGGACAGAGGGAGAGTGAGAAAGCATCTTGAGATTCCGTTCTGAGCACAGAACCCGACAGGTGGCTTGATCTTACAATCATGACATGAGCTGAAACCAAGAGTTGGATACTTAACCAACTGAGCCACCCAGGTGCGCCTTTACATTCTATTTTGTAATTGTATATAATGTTTTTTATTAGGGAAAATAACCTGTACTGATCCGTTCTTTTTTTTTTTTATATCAGTTCAAAAATCCTGCAGATTTTAGAGGATTTTCCTGTTACTTTCAGGAACACTGTGACCTGGTCCACAGAAACCACAACAGTACAGTGGAATGTTATATCAGAATCACCTGGAAAATTGTTAAAACATGGAAGCTAGGTCTTGATCCACAGAGTCTGTTTCACTAGGTTAGTTTCTGAAATGAGAATGAACAGTTCAAACAAGTCACCAGGTGACATGAATGGTAAAGGTCTAGGAATCAAACTTGAAAACCAGGATCCTGTGAAAAATTAGGCTACCTAGTTCCAGGTCTTGGAGTCCACCACAGTGAAATATTGCAGATTCCCAGAGGCAGAGCCAAGGTTTCTCACATACATATGTCTCTGCAGTGAGCAAGTCCGGCTAATGGCCAAGTTGGCTGGAGTCCTCAAATGCTTAGGAGCCCTGTGAGGGTTCCACCCACCAAACCTATCCAGTTCCCTGCATATTTTGCCTAGAACTTATTCTAAAAATACCCATATAGTTATTCCTCATATCCTTCAAGTTTTTGTTCAATGACCCTATTATCAGAGGTCTACCTTACTGTGCTTTGTAATATAAATACCATATTTTTAAGCACATTCACCTATGTTCTTCCATTGTGCCTACCACATTCCAAGATGCTATATGACTTAGGCTTTTTTTTTTTTTTTTTATGATTTCTGTGACCTCCTTGTATATAACATAACACCCAGGAGGGTAGAAGTCTTTTGTCCCTTTGTTTGGATGTCTCTTATGCATCTACAATAAGTTCTTGAAGCCGAATACTCTGATTATTTGTTAGAAAAGTGGATAAACAAGATATGTTAGCTTCCCTTTGTATTTTTATGATTCTACCTATTCCTTTTTTTTTTTTTTTTTTTTAAGATTCTGTTTATTCATGAGACACACGGAGGTAGAGACACAGGCAGAAGGAGAAGCAGGCTCCGTGCAGGGAGCCCAACATGGGACTCCATCCTGGGTCTCCAGGATCATGTCCTGGGCTGAAGACGGTGCTAAACTGCTGAGGCACTCAGGCTGCCCAATTCTACCTATTCCTAATATCCCTGTTCACTCTCCCTGAATGCTGGTATTGCTTAATTTCAAGAATGAATAAGAATGAAATTTGGAGAGTCTTCAGCATGATTTAGTCACGTGCTCAGCTTAATCGCATCTTTTCTGACATCACATAAAATTTCTCTACGATCTTCACATTTTTACCATCCACTGGTATTTCCACTAAGACATTTCTGACACAATCTCTGAATCATTATGTGGCCATTATTATTATTATTTAATATTTCATTTATTTATTCAGGAGAGACAGAGAGAGAGAGAGAGCGGCAGAGACACAGGCAGAGGAAGAAGCAGGCCCCATGCAGGGAGCCCTACGTGGGACTCCATCCCGGGTCTCCAGGACCACACCCTGGGCCGAAGGCAGGCGCCAAACCGCTGAGCCATCCAGGGATCCCCTTATGTGGCTATTATTAATAGCTTTGTATAATTTGCATTTTACAACTGTTTTTCTCAGATAATACCAGTTCCTCATGTAGAATACTCCCTGTAATCAAAGGGGAAACGATAACCACTTTCCAGTAACGTGATGAGATCATAGATTTAAGTTACTTCCTACATTTTGGAAATCAGAGAGCCCTTTTCATACATGCTAACACCTGTGAACACTGAAGCCACTGTCTGGTATCAAAATAGCACATCTTTCACAGTTCTGTTTTTGAGATTAATGTCAGAGAGATAAATGTGTTGCTAAGTTGGACACAATACAGTCAAGGGAAATGTTTTCTGTGTTAATTACAGAGATCACCTTTGTGTTCCTGCTTCAGAGTAGCCCAACATCCCCCTTAGTATTTCCTGTCATGACCTGATCTATTTTTTCTCTCGTCCCTGATCAAACATGGAACAACTGATAAAACTGGCTCTAACACTTCATGGTGTATGGATTTAAACTGCAACGTGACATGTTAGCTTCTGCTACCCGTGGACACATTTTGAACCCTCATGACTACGGATGATAAATGTTATTTGGATCTGTAGCCTTTGGGAGTATCTGAAATAATGTTTTTGCCTCTCGGAGCAAGCTTGAACTTCACGGAGTCCAAAAGAACATGTCCCCAAACGCTTGGGTGAACAGCTACAGGCAACACACAACACTCCCCCAAAACTTGAGCTCTACTTCTTTAAGAAGGGGCAAAGACAAAAAAAAAAAAAAAAAAAAAAAGAGGGGCAAAGACCTTTCTACTCTCTCGGACTCGCCGTCTCCCAGTGCAGCTCGCTGGCCGACTGCAGGTTTGTTGCGGAGCGCCCTTATCAACGGGATCCGAATCCGCAGGAACTACCTTACCCTGTGTGCTCCGCGTCTAATGGCCACCTCGTTGAGCCAGTGAAGGTCTAGAACAGAGGCCTTCCGTGTGTGACACCCAGCGCAAGGCGGGACTTCCGGCGTCCTCCTCCGGGCGGTCATTTTGGCTTCTCCCCTGTGTTCATCTGGGCAGAAGTTCCGGAGCGCTGGGTCTGCACGGAGGTGGCTTGCGGGAGAAGGACTCAGAGGAGTCGTTGACCACACAGAGCCAGGTCTGAGGCTCGGCGACGCCGCTCGGGGTGCCCTGCACCAGGGCCGGTCTGAGAAACCCCTGCCCGCTCCCGGCCCCGCTCCGCCCACAGGGCCGGATGGCGGCAGCCACGCTGAGGGACTCGGCTCAGGTAAAGGCTGCGTTCTGCGGCCCCTCATCGCCTCCCAGACCCTGAAGCTCCGGGGGGAGTAGCGCCTGCTGGCGTCCTCGAACCCAGGTCTTACTGGCTGGGACGATGAGGCACTAGTAGGTGGGGTCCCGTTTCTGACAATAGCTCTGAATAAAGCTGACACCTCAGCTCCTCTTTTTAATTTTACTGATGTAGTTGTGATTAGGTGTGGGGGGTGTTAGAGGCAGAGGAACCCCCTTGTGCAAAGGCCTGGAGGTGCCACTGAGCCAGGAGTATTCGGGAAAGCTGTGGACCCTGGTGCCTTTGAGGAACCGTGTTCGAGGCGGAGTCACACCTGGAATAACAAGCCGAGGGTTCTGCTGGCATTCTCAGGACTCTGGAAGCTCTAGAGAATTTTAAACAAAAGAGCACTACGAATTGCGTTAGGGTGTTAAAAGCTTTCTAAAGGTTGTGGATTGGAAAAATGGACTGAAGAATGGTGCTGGCGACATTGAGGGCATTAAGAGGTTGAATATTTCCTCGAGGACACAGAACTAGTAAGATAAACACCAGGCATAGATTTACCTGGCCTACCGGCCAGGTATGGGTACACAGGAGCGCGAGCCCATTGAAACCGGACATTGTATTTATCTATAGCCTGCCCGTTAAAACGTGGTTACAGACGCACTTATGGAACCTACACAGGTACGTGTGTATTCACGTATCACTGGGAGAGTATCCCAGTCCCTCACTGACTCCTACTCCCACTCATATATTTTCTGTATTGTAGTGTTCGGGGACTCTTAAGTGCCATTATTCCAGACCTTGGGTGTAGGGACCCTGGAGAAACCCAAGGCTCCGCCCTGGGTCCATATCAGGGATTATACGGAGGTATTTTCATTTTTCGCACCTGATGTAAGCAGGTGTAGAAAGGTTGTCGATACCAAGATGTAAAAATGCTTGGAGGTAGAGGTAATATTTGAGCATTAAGGAAACCATAGATTCTCTTTCCTTCAGGTGGGGAAAAAAGAGCAGTAAGATGGGATTCAGAACTGGAATGGCTGCTGGTGAAGTTGGTTATCTGTTCTGGAGGTGATGAGAGCTTTGGATTAGAGGAGGGAGGTGATCTTAACCAGGTCTTAACAGGCTTCATCTGGCTGCCTTAGAACAGATCCTAAGTATGAGGGAGGAGGAAGGAAAATTAGGGTGGAGTCCACTGTAGTGGCCCAGTTGAAAGTTCATGGGATAGAGTGGTGGCTTAGGAGAAGTGGCTGGATTCTGGATCTATTTTTAAGAGTCAGCTAGATTTCCTAATGTGCAAGGGAAGTCATGCTTGGTCTGCTTGTATTGCTGTAACAAAATACCACAAACTAGGTGATTTATACACCACAGATACTTATTTCCCACAGTTCTGGAGGCTAGAAGTCTAGGATCAGGATGCCTTCATGGTCAGATTCTGTCTAGTGAAGGCCTCCTTCCTAATTTCTGCCTAAAGGTCCCAGCTCCTAATATCCTCAAGTTGTGTGTGTGTGTGGGGGGGGTAGAGTGTCAAAATATGAATGGGGGGGGACGACATAAACCGTTTTTCTAGAACAGTGAGAAAGTAAAGCACAGGATTCAGCCCTTAGGGTTTTTTTTTTAATTTTTTTTTTTTTTTATTTATGATAGTCATACAGAGAGAGAGAGAGAGAGGCAGAGACACAGGCAGAGGGAGAAGCAGGCTCCATGCACTGAGAGCCCGACGTGGGATTCGATCCCGGGTCTCCAAGATCACGCCCTGGGCCAAAGGCAGGCGCCAAACCACTGCACCACCCAGGGATCCCCCCGCCCTTAGGGTTTTGATTAAAGCAACACGAAGAATGAAAATTTCAACTGATATGGGGAAATTGATCATAGAGTAATTTTCACTGGGGATATCAGGAACTTTCTTTTGGCTATATTAAGATTTGAGATGTTTCAGAGACCACTGAATGAAGGCATCAAGTAGGCAGCTGGACACTCCTATCTGGAATTCTGGGGAGGGCTTCAGGATGGAGACATCCAACATATTGTGGCTATTAGGTCAGTTGTATTTGGGAGGGGCATTCTGTAGGTAATGATGATAAAACTGTTTTCAGACTAGGAAAGGAAAGGTGATGGCTGAGAACTGGACCTCTTGCTTGGATATCTGGTTGAGGACATTGAGTTTCACTTACTCAAGGTAAGAGAAATAAGTGGCATGGAGGGAAGACATGTCAAGGGCAGGGTAGACTCATAGCTGATGAAGGGTACCAGTAGAAGAGTGGATAACAGAGGTATAGGAGTTGGCACATTAATACTCTGTCCTTGGAGCTAGTGTTTATTCCATTCAAAGGACTTCATGAATTTTGTGGTGACTTTGATGGGATCTGGGAAATTTCATTCAGTCTGGAGGATAAGGTTAGGGAGAAATCTTTGAGAACCACTAGGACTCAGATGGGTCACTAGTGGGGCTGGGCTTTGGATGAGGGTTAAGTCAAAGAGGAAATTTCTGACTGTATAGGGCAAAGCAAGGGCAGCACAGAAATGGAATGAGGTCATGGGTATTTGAAATCTGAAGGTCGTTCTGCGTTGTAGAGGTTGTAGCAACAAACAGTTAAGCAGGGAGGACTACTTAGCAGGCTTCAGAGCTGCCTCTGATAGTGAAGATATCAGAGGATCAATTGGATCTTGATTGGATTTATAAAAACCTCTTTGGTTAATATGCAGCAGGTATGGTATGGGGAGGCGAGGGAGATGCCTGTGCCTTCCTGTGGGGGCAGGAAGTGACTGTGGCTTCTAAGAAGAAGCAAGGGAGAGCCTCTCCAGGAAACTAAAATATTTAAAAGCAATCATATATGCTGTAGTTAACACACACAAGCACTGGGAATGTGCATTCCCAGAAGAGATTTGAGTGACCCCAGAACCTCTAAGCTAGAGAGATTAGTGAAGGTCTTCCCCTGCACAGGGCCAGTTCTTAGTGACTGGAGGAGTTGGCTATTTTTTCAGATGCCCAAATCTCAACAAAAGATCACAAAACATACAGAGAAATGAGGAAACATGGCCTAATCAAAAGGACAAAACACATGTCTGGAAACTGGACCTGTAAAAATATAGGCCTCTGAGTTATCTGACAGAAATTTAAAACAACTGCTAAAGATGCTTATGGACTTGAGAGAACACAGACAACAATATCAGAAAACAATTCATAGACAATATGAGAATATCAACAGAGATAGAAGCTGTAAAAGAAAACCAACCAGAAATGATAGAGCTGAGCAATTTTTCTGAACTGAAAAATTTACTAGAGAGGCTCAGTAGCAGAGTTGATCAGGTAGAATAAAGAATCTGTAAAAAGATAGGTCATTTGACATTGTCAAGTCAGAGCAGCAAAAAGAATGAAGGAAAGAGCTTAAGGGACTTAGGGATACCAGCAGGCTGACCAATGTATGCATTATGGCAGACCCAGAAGAACAGAGGGACTTTATTTGCAAAACCTATTCAACAGGGACACCTGGATGATGGCTCAGTGGTCCCACATCTGTCTTTGGCTCAGGTCGTGATCCTAGGGTCCTGGATCGGGCTCCCTGTGGGGAGCCTGCTTCTCCTTCTGCCTATGTCTCTGCCTCTCTGTGTGTCTCTCATGAAGAATAAATAAAATCTTTTTTTTTTTTTAATTTTTTTATTATTTATTTATGATAGTCATACAGAGAGAGAGAGAGAGGCAGAGACACAGGCAGAGGGAGAAGCAGGCTCCATGCACCGGGAGCCCGACGTGGGATTCGATCCCGGGTCTCCAGGATCGCGCCCCGGGCCAAAGGCAGGCGCCAAACCACTGCGCCACCCAGGGATCCCGAATAAATAAAATCTTAAAAAAAAAAAAAATTCAACAGAGGACAAGCATCTAAAATATAGAAAGAACATTTATAACTCATTTTTTTTTTAAAAGATTTTATTTATTTCTTCATGAGAGACACACAGAGAGAGAGGCAGAGACACAGGCAGAGCTCCGGAGAAGCAGGCTCCTTGCAAGGAGCCTGATGCGGGACTTGATCCTGGATCCCGAGATCAGGACCTGAGCCATCTAGGTGTCCCTATAATCAATAGTTTTTTTTTTCCTATAATCAATAGTTCTAAACAATTTTTAAAAAACAGTCAAAAGTGTGAATAGATATTCCAAAAAGTTACGGCAAAAATTTACATAAAGAGAAGCTGGAGTCATTAGGAAAATGAAAAATTAAACCCATAATGACTTAACCACTGTGTACTTTTAGAATCAGTATTTAAAAACTCTGACCATACCAAATGTTGTCAAGCATGTAGAGCAGATGGAACTCTGATCCACTGATGGTAGGAATGGAAATTGTACAAGCACTTTGGAAAGCATTTGGCAGTGTCTCTATCATTAAACATAAGCTTTCATACAACCCAGCCATCCCATTCCTAGGTATTTATCCAAGGGAAATAAAAGCATATGTTTATGCAAAGATCTAAGAACAGAAGATCTATGAAAGCAGCTGTATTTTTAGTGGTAAAAGGGGAAAAAACCCAAAGTCCACCAAAAACAGTTGAATGAATAAACAAATTGTAGTATCTCTGTATAATAGAATACCACTCAGGAATAAACAGGAATTGTCTTAGGTGTAACAAAATATTATAAAAAAAATACTAGAGACTGGATACTTGAAGAACAGTAATTTTTTGTTTACAATTCTGGAAGCTGAAAAGGACGTCCAGATCAAGGCGCTTCCTTCTTTGGTTCCTGGTGAGGACTCTTGGTTTGCAGATGGCTTTCTTGTGTCTTAACGTGACTGAAACACGGAAAGTGCAAGTTCTCTGATGTTCCCACCCTCCTCTTTTTTATTGAAGTATAGTTGACATTAATATTAGTTTTAGGTGTACAACATAATGATTTAACTATTATATGCATTACAAAAGGGTCACCTGGGTGGCTCAGTCAGTGTCTGCCTTTGGCCCAGGCCATGATTTTGAGGTCCTAGAATCAAGCTCTGAGTTGGGCTCCC